AATCAGCCACTGGGACCTGATTCAATGGCCAGCCCATGAATTCTTACTCCTACCAATTCGTGATTAAGCGTGACCCCAACCATTGTTGTTGGTGGGACATCCATCCTTACACGTAACATCTGGATGGACCCCACTAGCCACGACTTCTCACTAGAACTCCAGGACACTCCATCCTGTAGCAAGTCACTAGCGAGCATCAGATTAATTTTCTGTAGTTTGGTTTGAAAGGGTTAGTTATGTTGGTTGGTTGGTGTCGCGCTAAATCACGAATTGGTAGAAGTTAAAATTCATGGAATGGCCATTGAATCGGGTCCCAGTTGGTGAATGGTTAACGAGCTTGACTTGTCACCGGAAGTTCTCAGGTTCTAACCCAGTTGGTGGGTGCGTACTTCCAATGATACCCAAACTAGGATTAAACAGCTGTCCAGTACTCCGGTGCAGGTTTTCACTGGTTCTGCAACTGATATCAATCAATGATCAACTCGTATAATTATTATTACTAGCTCCTTTAAATGTCAGTTTAAAAGCCTTCCTGGTAATTTAACTTCTAATATTTATGATAAATGTTTCTGGTTTAAACTTTACAGTCCAAAATATATTCCCTCATACACCAGCAGTTTGTAATTATCACACTTAGATATTTTGTGTCGTAGATATTTGGAGAAAAAATGTAAACACTTAAGACAGACAGTTATTTTCGTCTTTAGAAAAGCGTTTTAACTGTTCATTTATCCATCAGCGATAAATTTAAGATTTGCTGAGTAATTCAGTTTCTTTTTCAAATTATCATTCGCAATCCAAAAAAAGATTGACACTTTACTAATAAATAACAAAAAGTTTCAATTAACTCATTTCAGCTGTTGATATTTTCAAGCATTTTACTGTCACTTAATGACTCTAATTTCAGTTATGTGTTTGTTCTTCAAATTTCCTTTGTCGACTTTGTTTAACATGAAAGGATTGGTTTGTTTCTCCTGTCATCTACCTTCAGTATTGTCTTGAGCTTCATTTCAGTGTCTTTTATCTGATGGTATTGTAAATACACTACCACTTCTTTCGGAAACTTGCGATAAAAAGGTGTCCAAATCTTAGGGAGTAGTGCTGTTTGTATTGAGACAGAATCCCAATAATTAACATATAGGTGTAGAGTGATGTCTTCAGTTCAGCGAAATCAAACGAAACACTTATTAAAGAATGAAAACCGTTGACTCGGGATTATTAGTAGCCTAGTAGACGGCTCTTCAGTCTACATATAGATTAATTCTGGATTCAAAGTTCACCTGAAGTGTTATCAAACATTGGAGTACAAACAGATGAAGCTGACTAGTTCCACCATCAAATGGATGACATCAAAATATACTTATTATTAGTCGTTCCTTAGAATCCAAATGGAACATAGGGCTTCAGCATTACATAGTCATCATACTGCAGTCTTCTCCAGCTGACTCCACGTCTGTTCATAAGTTATCATTTCCCAATCACACCATCCCCTCCATATCATCCTCACACCCACGCCCAACTTATCACATCTCATTCGGTTTCCACATGAGGGTCAGGAGTACTATGTCACTCAATGCGTGTCCAATGCGTCTCTATTTCCTTCGGAATATTTGTTGGGCAATAGATTCTTGGTTAGCTTGTCCACAATGTCCTCTGTTGCTTATTTATTCTGGCTGCATGGTCTTCAATATAGATCAAACAAAGTTATCTGCTTATGAAGCCTGTTGAAAATGCTTTAGATGAAAAGAATGCCAGTAATCTGAAGCATTCTAAAGGACTGACATGACGTTATTATTGGGAATCCAAATCTTTTTCCCAACGCTGAATGCAGTAGATTTCAAAGTGTGAAACATTTTCAGGTGTTTGATCCACTTTTTTCTGTCAATAGGTTTGAATTAGGTAGGCAGAAATCTCATGGCTTACGATAAGTTTGTTCACATCTTAAAGCCTGAAACGTCATTGAGTAAAACTCTAGCATGCAGAATGTCTATTCAACTTAATCTCTTGTTAACACAACACCCATTTAGTATTTTGTTTTGTTCCTTCACGTTCCCAGTGGAACATAGGGCTTCAAGTTAGAGCTTCCAAGTTTCAGTAGCAGTGGCGTTTATTTTTACGGGATAGGGTTGCTAACCTAATGTCCAACCTTCCCTCCTTACCGGCCTTATTAATAGCTAAGTGAGGTAAAGGAGTGCGTCAGCGGCTGGGAATCGAACCCCGAACCACCTAAGTGGTTGGCAAGCACTCTATCGCTGTATCACCGACACTTTTAGTACTGTAGTAATCGTATATTTTAAAATGGGAAATCGGAGATACTTTCATCAGCTTTGTTTTAACTTTCAACGTTTTATGTTTCAATAAGAAACTGGTGATTGAATCAGACATAAATTGTATGTTCTTTCTTATTACGAAATCGACAATATCCTCTCATAAAGTTGTTTATAGTAAACACTGATAACACATTGCTACATGTGATACACTAACTAGACTTATTTTTTGTTGTGATATGTTCAACAGAGATGAAAAGTAAAGTAGTAGAAACTCGTATGATTGCTATATCTCTACTTCAAACTTCGTAAATATAAGTGATCCATTACATTCTAATTCTATTATGATGATATGTACACATTTCAGCTTTGAAGTTTGTTTTGATTTTTTTTCGTATACACTAAATTTTGTCAGCTGTTTCAACAAATCATATTTATTGTTGTCATCATGAAAGAAATAAAAGTCTAAAAAAACATAAACTTCGATTATGTAGACTTCTGTTTAACGTCCTTAATGAGATTACCATGAATAATCGTAGCTTGACAGACTGGTATAATGCGGTAATGATTGAAGTTAAACGGGAAATTTCTGCCTCCAAATTTAGAATTATCTTCGGTTTTTGTTCATTTCATAAGCAAAATCATTTGACTTTCAGTTACATAGCTCAGGATTCGAATTTCGAGTAATAGATAGAATTTTGACCGCAGATTGATATTATTTAGAGAACCACTGGAAAACATAGAGTACTGTAAGACGTTTCCTGGGGTCCTAGTGAGAGGTAGTGACCGGTGAGGTTTACTCGGTAGAGAGTGAGCACAAATACTTAATAATAATAATAATAATAATAATTTACTTTATTCCAAAAAACAGTACTTGTGATACAGAATGGAATTTTAAGCATTAATCACAATATTGCATCTAATTTCCTCAAATTATAAATAAAATTAACCACACAGAAAATTTTCCACATTTACAATAGCGGTTATGTCAAAAATATGCAGCATATAAAGTGGAAATAATAATAATGATAGCAGCTAAGGTAACAACAATAATACAAGTGAAAATTGCCTTGGGCTTGTTACACACAGTATTGTCAATGCGGTATAGAAATCCTAGTATGTTTAAAAATATTGAATATAATGTTCTCTTTACATGATGTGGTGAGGAGAAAAACAAAGATTACAGCAGTCATAGAGATAAGTTGGTGTTTGCAATCATGAAAGTAAAACAAACAAAGAAGCAACAGGACTATAAATATAATAGAAATAATAAAAGTAAAACTTGAAGGTATATAAGGATGGATTGAGGAAATTGTTTATATACTAGATGAAAAAAGGTTAGTTAATTCTTGCCTGACACTATTTCCATCACATAAAATACGTTCCAAGTATGGTATCATAGAATTTCTATACTTAGACGTGCGAGCATATAGTTTTCTGAAGTTACTTCTTGTTCTACCTGAGGAGATGCAAGGTGAAAGCTGAGGGTAAAGGGGATGCTCCAAGTCAGACAAAATCCCTCTAGCAAATTTATTGCACGAAGTCAAGTGCCTATCGATAACAACATTAACTATGTGGTCCACTGGGGCACCACTCACCCTAGTGACCGTCTTCAGTATTCTACAAATGGTGACATAGTCCTTTTTAAGCAAACCAGGAAAGAATAAGCAAGGGTGAACAGTAAAGAAGAATAGGTAGGATGCAAGAGTTTATGAACTGTAAGAGGAGGGGTTGAGTTATACCCGAGTGTCTTAACTTCTTAATGTAAAATGTCAGGCGGAATATTTTACTGGAGATCGCTAAGATATGGGAAGACCAGGAGAGATCAAAAGAGAGAATAAGTTCGAGATACTTAATTTCTGATTTAATTCCTATATCATTGTCGTCAATCTTACAACTGTCATGAAAATCGATGACTTCTTTTAACTGTCTTTTACATCTTAAGCTGAAATTAACAGTATGACATTTAGAAGGACTCAGTTTAAGACTGTTAGACTCAGGCCATTTACTGACTCACAACAGAAAGCCATTTATTTTGGTACAATCTAGCTGGGAGTTAACAGCCATTGAAACTTGCCGATGACATTGGCTGGTGCCATTCGCACCAAAATGAGGAACTGTTAGAAGTTAGAATTTATGGGTTCTTGAGTCAGATCCGAGCAGCTGAATGATCTAAAAGCTCGCCCTGTAACCTGAAGCTCATGGGTTTGAAACCCGGTGAGTTCGTACTCCCGGTGAGTTCAAAACTAGGACGAGACGGTTGTCTGGTTTTCAATCGTTCTCTAACCAATGTCTGTGTGTGTTCAAACTTGAAACACATCAAATGCCTAATAGCGAACTCTTGAAAAATACGATAGAACATGACTCCGAGACTAATACATAAATTATCTGTGCTGGGAAACTGAACCCCATTACGTAACCTAGTCATTTTCATTTCTATTATTACCGCTGTCTCTTCTGTCATCACAAAATATCTATCTGTAATTCATATAACATTGTGACACCAAATAACACATTAGTTAGCAATTCATATATTAATATTCCAACAAATCAGATAACTGACCTCACAATCTACACAACTACTCATGAATGGATGAAATGAAAGGAATTAGTCATGAAACAAAGCAAAACATCCACAATTAGGCTACATGTTTAACAGGAGATTGTTTTATTCGAAGTTTTAAAAAAACAACAAAATTAAATTATATAAGGTCATACAATACTGATAGCGTTATGGGTTATGATATGTTTTTAAAACGGAATATCTATTTCTGTCATTCATTTAAACAAAACAAGCACAGTAAACTGTTGAACAAAATGCTAACAGCCTGCTTGACTTTATTAATTTTAACTGAAACAATCGTACTGTCAAGCGGCGAATTATCTTTAGACGCAATAGGTCAATGTGAATATGATACAAACATTGAACGTATTGACTGTAATCCTGAACAACATTCAAGTTATGGGGATTGTAAGTCAAGAGGATGTTGTTGGCAATCAAAAAGTGATATGACTGGTGGTGCTGATGATGATGAAACAATGCCAGCGTGTTATTTTCCAAAATCTTATCCAACTTATAATGTCTATGCAATTAAAAAAACTGAACGTGGTTTTATTGCCCAGTTGAATAAGCCTAATCCAAAGTATTATTGGGATGAAGTGAAAAATATTTCATTTGAGCTGAGACAAGAAACATCGACTAGACTACGGTTACGATTTACAATACCATCGCAACCAAACAGATGGGAACCATATATACCCCTGGGAAAACCAGAAAAAATGCCAATAAAAGATATTCAGTATAAAGTTTCTATGGAGAAATCACCTTTTGGAATAAAAGTAAGTGCTGAACTAACCTCTTTTTGTTGTCTACATATATGCTTGTATACTCTGTTCGCATACAATAAATAAAAACTACTACTGTGCGTCGGTGGCACAGTGGTTAGGACCCTCGCCGACCATGCACATGGTCCGGGGTTCGAGCCCACGCCGACGAACACCTGATATCTATAGTCGGCCTGCGAATTTTGGGCTACCGATATCCACGCTGAAAATTCCACACTCGTCCCAAAAACACGGTGCGGAATCAAGCTGTAATCAAAAATAATAAAAAAATAAATAAAAATAAAATATATATCTATAGTAAAGGATTATTGTTATTGACATCAGATCTGTTAAATAATATCGAATCAATACAATCCACAGATCAAATTGCAACACATGTATGTATAAACATGACACTAAACTTAATATCAGATAAATTAGGTCAAAATATTCCCGAATTTTCGTAATATAAAGACTCCACATCAAGCCAGGGTAGCAGTAGTATCTGGGCCTGTTTCTTCTGAACTTAGAATTCTGGTTGTTTCACACGAATTTCTACGAATTCTGGTGTTTAGATTATTGGATATCTAGAGGTCTTCGGTGGTTTATTACGTACACAATAGATGATAGTAGGAATTTTATAAATTTTGGCTTTGTTAAGTGATTGGGGCAAGCGCTTTAGTATCGAACTGTTATCGATTCTAATAGCACCTTTTTTTAGCCATACTGGTAGGTGTACCCGAGCACGAAAAGTCAAGTTCCTAGAGTAATAGCTAATATGACTGACTTCATAAGAATAAATGTATTGATAGGTAAAAGAAGAGGCGGGTAATCAAGAAACTTGGTCTTTCAGCTGGAGAATCACAGCAGGAGTGAAGAAAATAAGAAGTGTGGCTTTCTGGTATTAAAAGTTCTTTGAATTAGTTTTCTTAGTTTGTTGGTTATCAGTTCACTTCGTAGGTGATCTTTGAATTTCAATTTCATATAGAGAGGCTTTTTATTTACAGACACAGAATATTTCTTATCGACTTCTTTTCCTTATGAACTTTCCTGGAGAGCTATTCTAAATTAAAACGTAATATACAGTATTAAGTTAATCAAAAGAGTATTCTTTGTTTGCTAGTCAGTTTTTCGAAATGGATGATATGCACCAGTGATCAGTTAAAATGTTGGAAATTACTACGTCGATTGGAAAGACACAACAAAACACAGGTGTCTATACCATTTTTATAGCATCTTTATACTTAAACAAAAGTCAGAACCGGAAAGGCAAGATATGCCTTCATCAATCTGAAACCACTTTGGAAATCTTTAACATTCAGTATAAGGAACAAGATTTGCACTTTCATCATCGATGTCAAGTCTGTCCTTCTATACGGGTCAGAAACTTGCACTGCGAGTCACGAAAAGGATTTCCAACAGGTTGCAAACTTTGATCAACAGCTGTCTTAGCTCCAAACTAAAGATCAAATAGCCAGAAAGAATTAGTAACAACAAACTCTGTCTGAGAACAAACCAACCAAGAGCCAATTACTCATAAGAAATGTGGGAGAAAATGGAGATGTATCGGGCATACTCTGTGGAGGTCATCAAATGACATCGCGTTCAATGCAGGCCATCACTCGAGTGGAATCTCAATGGAAAGCCACGAGTGGGTAATCCTAGGGTGACGCAGTTGAGATCACAAGAGGAGGAGATAAGAGATTGTGGGCAGTCGTGGGCCCAGATAAAGAGGACAGTAGAAAATAGAAGAAAGTAGAGATTTGCTGATGAAGCCCTATATTCCACTCGAGACCTAAGGGAACAATAATAATAGTGATAAATGAAGACATCGTTTAAATGCAATAATAATAATTTTCTTCATTTTGACTACCAGTGAGTGATATTCAAGTTATGCGTTTGTTGCGGCATAAACTTGTCAGCTTGGTATACCTGAATCTCAGAGAGTCATAATACTCCCCCGGAGAGATTCAGTAGCAGTATTCATCAATCTAAATATCGACTTGTTATCTACAGTGTTAGTTAAACGGAAGCATTCCCACTTTACTAAACTTGAGTAAAACCAAGGGTGTATCTTATCGTCTTGCTGTTAAACGTGAAAAAAATAAGTAGAAGCAGATTGAAATTGCATGATAATGTTGATTAATTACTAAAAATAAAAATGTACCAATACAGGATGACAAAATGAACCTACTAAAGTGAACAGATGGAAACGATCAAGCAGAATTTAAACACAACGAAAGCCCAAACAATAAAGAGTATTGAGTGACATTCTCACCCTATTTTAAATCTATTTAGCAGTACATAATCAAGACACTATGGAGGATCTTATACAATCGGTCAGTTGTAGTATTGGATGGTAAGAGCAAGCTAAATAAATTTATTCATTTGGTGCCAACCCAGTTGGCAGATTGGCAACGCACTGGTTTTGGAGTCTAATGTTGTTAAACCCGATAGTTCATAGGGTTTTGGATACGGATGTCTAGGGAATCCTGAGCACGAGTATAAAGTTGGTTCAGTGTCCCTGTAGCTGATATCAGTCTAATATTCATGTTTTAAAAATGCTAAGACTAAACGTAAGATGACGGTACATTTTAGAATATACTGAACTACCGACCCAATTTTCCCGGAAGTTATATCGTCAGATATTATCATCAATAATTTATGAAGAGAAATCCAATCAGCTGACGTAGAATTGATTTGAATGCTTGCAATTCAATTCAAAGATACTTCACAATTAATATGAATTAGAAATATACATACATGACACTCAGAAGAAAGCTAGTTATTAATATAAGCTGTGTAATGTGCTTATATCTCCTCAAACTGTTTTATTAACTGAATTTTTACCCGGAATTAAACGAAACTTTCAATGGCTATTGATAGGTATTAACTAAAGTTTCAAGAATATAGCAGTATAATTCACTTCAAGGTAGATTTCTTAGCAAATCAACGTCAGTTAGAAGATTATTGTAAGTACTCCCTTGTTTTCCTTGTCTGTTAGTGACTCAATCTACCTTTAGATTAAATACGAGAAGAGATTTCAACTAAGTAGACTGAGTGGTAGACATGCCATATCATGAATCAACTATAGTTTTGAAATTTACACTAATAACTTCTAGTCTTATGACATTAAGTTCTGTTGACGGCTGTTAGAGTACACTGGTAAACATTTTCGATTTAATATGAAGCAGCTGTTTAGTACAGTTGTTTCCCATTATGTGTATATTTGTACTAATAAATTTGCTACAAACTAATCATCACTTCTTCATTAGTCGCTTAAATGAATAAAAAGTTATTTAGTATGCGAAGATTTTATTAACTTATTCTAAGCAGTCACTCATTTGATTACTTTATTTCCTAACATATGGAATCAATTTAATGGCTGTTGGAAACAGTTATATATATATATATATATATATATATATATATATATATATATACGCAAGGTAATTTAATGTATTTCGCAGTTTTATAAAAATGATTTTCAGAAGTGAACTGCATTCAGTACACAGTAATTATCAATGACTTAACACTAAGGTGAAGGACTTCGTAATTAATTATGGTATTTAGCCTACGGTAAATGTGCATTTAGCTTTTAATAAATTTTCTGCTAAATGTGAAAGAAGCACCCATAAATTAGTAATATATTCAATCAACATAAATACCTGAAAGATAGAAAAAGACAGACTTATAAATAAAATTGCAAAGATCTAAGTTGTGACACTTTGAAGCACTTAACGTAAAGTAGAGTATAAACATAGATATAATTCTAGAGTAGTTAAACATGAATACGAGAAAAAAAAATACGAAATGACTGGAAACCAGTGAAAATGTTCAGAATTTTGGAGGTTACAGAAAATTAATATATCCGCCTGATTGTGAACAATTTCCAACCATTTCGTCAATTCTACAGCATTTCGATGATCCCATAAAAACAATCTACACATCATGGAATGGTCCTGTGTTTTCACTTTTTTTTCGTTAATTAACCTTATTTCAGCCAACATTGATCATCCAGAAAGAAGGTGGTTCAATGTGCATAAGACTTGTTCCCGGCTGATTGGTTGATGAAGATTCATACTCTTTTTGTTGAACTCTAAGTTTAATCTTAATTTCGCTTACAATATGATTTCAAATAGCTCGAGTAATCCTATTGAAATGTGTATTCTTTCAATACTTTTTGCTTTAATGTTATATCTTATATCTGTGAAGCATTCTTTAACCGACAACTGGACACTTCAGAGCGATAAAGATTATATAGACGCATGAATATTAAATCACCTGTCTTTGTCTGTGTTGTCATATTTGTTATCACCGTCATCATTCCAACCACTTCAAACTATATCCTTGCTTTTCTTGCTTCAGAGGTCTACCTAGTGTACAAATGGCTAAGGAAATCAGGTTCTCGGCAGGATCTTGGTTGTTATGCCAATAAAGGTGATCCTGAGTAGGATATTGTTCAATTTTCTATGAAAATTGAAGAATCCACTAGCATTACCTTGGACTTTCATAAAGTGGCTATTACCATAGTTATTCTAGCTAACATAAACGCTACAGAGGTCGAACTGTCCTAATCTGGGACAATCGTGCTGCAACTATAAACCAGTTGAACCTTTCTTTGAAGTGTACTGCTCAGAGTTCTACTCCTTCCGTTACATTTCATTAAAAGATTGACTTGCTTACCATGATCTCATTGACACATTTGATTAGCTGGCTGGTATTACCTGATACTGACAGATTTTCCAATTCTTCTGTTTTCATCTATCTTTATAGCTCACGACGGTTACAAAGAGCTTCAATCAGCTCATGATTATACAACTTTTCATATTCATTAGGTATAAAGCTGTCTGAAACCATTCGTTCTGCACTGACCAGTTCAAATAAATTTATTGATTTTACTAGTTATTCGTTATAGGCTATTAAATGTCTTCGTCTTTCGCTTTTCAGGATAACTGTCACTGTCATGCTGGGAAAACTGTCTGCTCAACTATTCTCCAAGTATAAATTTGATG